TGCCCAGGTGAGGCACAGCTGGGAGGGCACAGCCCCACACGTGCCCAGGTGAGGCACAGCTGGGAGGGCACAGCCCCACACCTGCCCAGGTGAGGCACAGCTGGCCCACACCTCCTCAGGCTTGGGCACCTGCACGCCCATGGCAGTGCAGTCACCAGGGGGGCACTTTCAGAAGATGCTGAGTTAAAGAGAAGGGAATGACTCGTAATTCCACAAGAATGCCTTTGGAAGGATGAAATTTCAGCTAGTTTTACCTTTCCCTCACTAAAACAGAGCAGAATGTTTATTCCTCTCCTCCCTTCTGCTCCCCTCCTCTCCCCTCCTCTCCCCTCTCTTTTTTCCCTGACTTCCATGGGCTGCTCTGGAGTGTTTTAACTCGGGTGTTCAATACCAGCACAACTCTGCACACCCTGTGCCTGAGGAGAACCTCCGGGCTGGGACATTGGCAGGCAGGAGCCCCATTCCCAAGGCTGCAGAGCCAAGGTGCTGAAGGAGGAGGGGATGGAATGATCCCCAGTCTTTTTTAAGGCCCTCAGCCTGAAGAACAGGCAGTAGGATATGACCTGCTCTAGGCTCTGACACGCTGGCCAGGAGCTCCAAGCTTTTTTGTGGAAAAGCTAGCCCCATCCTGGCTATTCTGAGCATGAATTCATCATATCCACATGGTGTCTAAGGGTACACCAGGGCATGTTTTCCTTCAAGTGTAGACTAAACCCTTGTGCTGTGCTCTGTTCTCGCTCCAGGCAGCACAGCCAGCAGGTAGCTCAGGGATTTGAGGGGGAGTCTGAGGCTTCTGCCATGTCACCCCCTTTCTGAGGGCTGTGGGCCCCAAGCTGTGGTGCCACTGAGCATTTAATGAGACACTAATGCATCTCTCAGGCTACAACAAAAAGAGGTTTTCTTGACTGCAGCCCTGTCCTCCCCTAATTCGCATTTAGGGATTAATCTCATAGCACAGCAAGAGCCCAGTGCACAGACTGCTGCTCCTCAGCTTCACCAGCAATCCTTAGCAATACCAGGGAAAGCCTCTGGAGTGTCAGATACCCTGATTTTATCCAAAAGGCTCCTATAGTTTGCCCCCAAACCAAGCACACTGTGTGTGGGACCTGCTGTTCTGCCAGGACAGGGAGAAGGAGTCTCTTTGTGAATGGAAGCTCTCAGGGCTATGGACAGAGAGGATTGGTTGGGTCCACGTCCCAGCTCGGGAGGCATTGGCATCTCCTGGGAGTGGTACCCACCCACCACACCTAGAAATATATTGCACCATGGCCACAGGAGACACATCTTACCCATCTTGCATGATTGAAATCAGTGTGGACTGTGGGTTTGACCCTGTGTGACAAACAGATTTCATTTTTACTCCTTCTGGAGTAAAAATGACCATTAACTCTGCCAAGGGCTGGGAGCAGGCTGAGGCTTTGGCCTCTGAATCAGGCCCAGGTGTGAAATGTAGCTCAGATGAATGGTTGTGGTGCAACTGCCAGGTTAAGTGTTAACGTGTCCGAAGAGCTGCTTTCATGGTATTAAAGCATTTATATTCCACTAGTGCTCCACAAGCCAGTCATGATCCCATTGGACAGACACTGACTAAGAGGATGGTCCCTGTTCTGGAAAGCTTAGGATAAGGTCTTTTGCTCTGACCAACAGGACATTGTTTGAGGTGCAGGAGACCTGGGTTCAGACTCCTGGTCCCCCAGCTGGGTGTTTGACCTTGAGGAAGGTGCTGTGCCCTGAAGTGCTTTGATTTCTGCACGTACAAGGTGCAGATGATCATGAAGGTGCAGGGAAAGGTCTGGCAAAGGCTCTGCAGTGCCACCTGTGCCATCTGTGCCCCTTGGCCAAAGGAGCTCCTTCTGATACTTCTGATCTACTTGGGAATGTGCAACCTGTTACAGACCTCCAAGGTGGGAGGTTTACCATCTCCACACAGCTTCTGCCAATTCTTCCCTTGCATTAGATTTTGCTGGGTTGTGGTTGTTTTTTTCCTCCAAAAGGCTGTATGGAATTTCTCTTACCTTTATAGCTTTTGATAGAAACATGTTTTACTTTGGGCTTCATGATTTTATGTGTTTCTGCTGTTGACTTGTATGTGTGATTCATTTTTCATGTTCTTTTAACCTCCTTCTTGTGACTGAGATCCGTAAAAGCTTTTGCTTTAGCAGTTAAGTCTCTTCACTTCCAATTTTTCCTTTGTCAGCTCTTCTTAACTCCTTTTTCCCTCATAAATGATTTCCACATGAAATCACTGAGTTTATTGAAGTCCATTTTGTTGGTTTTATTTTGTTGTTCTTCCTTTCCTTAAGAGCTTTGATCTCTTCATTTCATTGTCTCTCTTACCAAGTTACCATTCTCCCTCATATTTTCCGTAGAATCTCAGACTGGTTTGGGTTGTAAGGGACCTTAAAGACCATCCAGTTCCACCCCGTGCCATGAGCAGGGACACCTTCCACTAGACCAGGTTGCTCCTGGCCTTGAACACTTCCAGGGATGGGGCAGCCACAGCTTCTCTGGGCAACCTGGGCCAGGGACTCACCACCCTCACAGCCAACAGTTCCTTCCCAATTTCCCATCTAGCCCTGCCCTCTGGCAGTGGGAAGCCATTCCCCCTTGTCCTGTCCCAAGTCCCTCTCCAACTCTCCTGGAGCCCCTTTAGGCACTGGAAGGAGCTCTCAGGTCTCCCTGGAGCCTTCTCTTCTCCAGGTGAACCCCCCCAGCTCTCCCAGCCTGGCTCCAGAGCAGAGGGGCTCCAGCCCTGGGAGCATCTCTGTGGCCTCCTCTGGACTCCAGAGCAACTCCACGTCCTTCTTGTGTTGGTGCCCCAGAGCTGGAGCCAGCTCTGCAGGGGGGGTTCACCTGAGTGGGGCAGAGGAGCAGAATCCCCCCCTGCCCTGCTGCCCACGCTGTGGGATCAGCCCAGGGCATGGGGGGCTTTCTGGGCTGCCAACACACATGGTCAGGCAGGTTGAGCTTCTCATCCACCCACACACCCAAATCCTTCTCCCCAGGGTTTTTCTCAATCCCTTCTCTATCCAGCCTGTACTTGTATTCTTGATTAGTCCTTCTCTGTTTTCTGTAATAAAGTATAAAAAACCAGATTCAAACTCAATTCACTTGTTCCATCAGAATAAAATATGTCACTAGTGCCTTCCAGCATTTTTCCAGTGCATCTGTGTTCCTCTGTCCTTTCCACACAGATAGCTGGCCATTGAAACTCCCAGTTCTGCCAGAGCTTCTGCTTTGGATATTTCCTCTAGATGCTCAAAGAAAAAATGTTCAGTGGATCTTTTGGGTGGCCTGGAGCAGTCATGCCATGGTTCTTTCTGAAGTGCTTTGAAATCTCTGAGTTAGATGGGAATGTTATTAATTTTTACCTTGATCTTATGTTCTTTTTAGCGAGTGTTGCTTTCCATGAGCTGGTGATTTTTCCTCCAGATATTGGGATAATATCCAGAGGAAAGATCACCATATTTATTGGGACAATATCCTGTGTGATAATTGCAATAATTTACTCAGATCCTTGGAGGGTAAGGATCTGTTGTCACACTGTGGAAGATAAAAATAACAGCTTTAACCTTTTGTGTTTGAGATGGAAATGTTTACGTTCTGAAGTGATGCTTCAGAGGACTCTGAGAAGCTGCTGTATCTAGTGGGACATCAACCCATCCCCCTCTGATCCCAGGATCTGGTATCCAGAGATCTTTCTTTGTTCTCCTGGTTAATAATCCTTGGGCATGCCCTGTGTGAGGCATGGAGAGAGAGAAGGAATTGCTTTCTCCCTGTGGACTCTTGTTCAAAGGAAGCTGCAGAAAATTTTCACTTTCCTGTTCTCTGTGACCATTTCTGATTGCTGGTTCTGCTCTTTCTGACTCCCAGTGGGATGGTTTTAGCCACTGAAGCCCCACAGAAGGCTTTGGTTAAGCCTTTCCCTGTTCATGCATCCCAACATCCAGCAGGAACTGACAGATACCTATGCTAATCCACTTCATGTATTTTATCTCCTGCCTTTATCTCTCCTTGCACTGGGTTTCAAAACAAGGCACTGTGTGAAGATCTCGAGTTTTGCAGTTGTAATGAGCCATATCTAATGAAGATGACAGCAATAAAAATATTATCAACAAGTGTGGCTTGCTAGCTCAGCAAAACAATAGTCCCCACCCTCTTTGTGTGGATGTGGAGTCTCTTCCATGGATCTGTGTTTTATTGGATAAACTTTAGCCACAAGTTTACATCCTGAGCAAGTTGTTCACAACTGCTTCAATGACTTAACAACACAGGTTCCAATTAAACCCAGAAGAATGCAGCCTCTAGAGACTGAGGTGGTGCCCGTGTGGGGATGCTGCCTAATTAAAGGTGTGAAGTCATTGACTATGGAGCATATTGAACCACAGGGTGGATCTTATCACTCAGGGGTGGTGGAACCAGAGATATCAGACCTGAGGATTAGCATTGCTAATCACAGTTGAAAGTGTAAATAACAGTTTATAGTTGAGATAAGCTGACAATGTTCTGCTCTGTCCCTCACTGTTCCAAGTGTGAGGGCATCCTGCCTTCCCCAACCCCAGTCTGACATTGGGGAAGGAAAAGTGTCATGTCTAGATAGTAAAACTTCCAGGAAATTTGGCGATGTTGGGTACTTAAATGTCTTTTTCCTTCTTTCAGCCCTCTGCCCTAATGTCGTAAATCAGCGGCACTTGAGAACCCTGAACTACCTCTTTTACAAGAGATTTGTTGAGGTATGTGCTGTGTTGTGTGTGGGGGTGAGTGAGGATTTTCATTCCATTTGCATTTTGAATAACACAATTGAGATAATTGAAATGTATCGGTAGTGTATGAGCAAGTTTTTGGTGTGAGTATTATGATATAAAGATGTCTTGGATCTGCCATTGGATCAGTTTGTTCTGTGAGTGAATAGTTTGTATGTCCATTCATGTTCCAATACCTGGGTGTCCTGACTGCTCAGGGCTGGAGCTTCTTCCCCTCAGCTCCCTCAGTGCTCTGGGTCAGGATCAGCTCTCCAGCGTTCAGCTTCCTTCAACCATCTCAAGTAAGCAGGAACATACTGGATAAAGAGGTTTTGGGGCATTTGTGTGGGGTTTTAAGAACACTAGGTTCTAGACATTCCTCATGTCTGGGTGCTCTGTAGGCAATTTGCTTTGGTGCTTGTGGCCTGGCTGGGATAGGTATGGCCCAAACCTGCCACAGGAGCGTTTTTGTGCTGCCAACCTTGTTACTGTGGAACAAAATGGTCCTATTTTCAGCTCCTGAACCACTCTTTGAACAAACTTTACTTCTGTCCAGCCTCCAAATTCTCTTTCCAAATCCACTGGTACTTGTGCTGGCACTGAGGGGTTGGAGGAATAAGAAAATGCCACTAATTCTTTCTGAGAAGCAGTTTTCTAGGAGGCAGCTTGGAGGTTGACTGTCTGCAGAATGACTTGAGTGTGGTTTCTCCTCCCCACTCATGAGTGCACTGAGCCAAGTCACTGCCCTTTGGATGCTCCTGAGCTCCTGTACTGGGAACACATTTATCTCCTTAACAGGGTGGGTTTGGTGCTTCTCCTGATGGTCTGGCTTTCAGCACGACCCTGTGCCTGGGGACAGATCATACCAGTTGAGAGTCAGATTTATTTTTTTCTGCCTCTTCTGTAAAAAACAGCTCTCACTTGTATCCAGGTGTATCCATTGAACTGTGAAGGACAAGGACCACAAGAGACTGAATATCACAGTGAAATGTTTCCATTTCTTGAATTTCGAATTCTCAAGCTGTATTTGCCAAGCTTGGAGCAGGTTTTCATCTGCAGTTCATAAAAGATTTTCTTCTTGTAGATACAGGAGGTTTTTAGCAGAGTCTGAGCCCAGCAGGTTTCTCAGATGTTCCTACAGGACTATTGATCCAGTCTCCAGAGAGCCAGCATTCAGGGAATGAACCACCTCCCCTGAAGTGCCTGTTCTGTGTTCGGAAGAGGATTCCTTTTTGCTCTGACAGCAACAGGCAGATCCAGGCATATCTTCTGACCCCCCAGCCCCAGTACTTTGAACATGAGGATGGGGTTGAATGGTGCTGATCTGATGACACCGTTCTGGCACAGCAGGTTCTGCTCCCAAGACCTCCCGAGCCATCAGTGAAGGCTCTGAGCTGCCTTTGCTGCCTGCCAGCCTCACTGCCAGGAGAGCTGGGGAGGAGTGGGCATTCCAGCCTCCTGCATCTCAGATCTTTAGTGCAGATGACATCACTGGAACAAGCTTGGTCATCCACTGGGAGTGAGCAGAGAGCATTTATCCAGGTGTGTTTATTTAGCAGAGTGGAATGGATTCATGATCTGGGGTTCTGCTCTCTTTGGTCTTCCATTTCCTTTGTTTTGGAGCATTTGCTTGATTTAAAATATTCAAGCTGGCCAGTTACTTCCATTAAGGTACATTTGGCAGCTGCTTCTGGACACAGTCCCTTCTTCTCAGAGCTCTTTGGTGCTCTCTGTTTACCATTCTCAGCTGTGTCTGAGCTCTGGCTAAATGGCCCCTTCATCTCACTAGTATTTAAATTACATGCTTGTGTATCTCAGAGCTGTTTTTTTTGAGGTTCTTACTCCATGTTTGCTCTTGTACCTTTCCATAAAAGTGGCACTAGCAATCCCTGTTCCTCTGCCAGCACCAAGGCTGAGGCTCATGGTCAGTCTCATGCAGCCTCTGCTCTTGGCAGAGTGGAGAGTAGATCCAATCCCAAGTTTCTCCCCAAGTTTGGCTCTGAACTACATTAGAATGAGAATATTAACTTATCAGTTTCCTTTCCCAGACCTCATGATTCCAGAGGATTTTTGATGACTTGGCTGTTGAGAAAAGTTTGTATTTTAATATTCTGAATGCTCAGCCTTGCAGAGAGAGGATCCCTGAGATGTCTCCTTTTCCTGGAGCCCATGGGATGGCTCTCCATGGGCTGGCTGGAGAGCTGAACAGTCTGAGGACACATTGCACATGAATTTTTATATCTTACATGCTGTCATGTAACAGTTCTTTTGAGTTACTTTGTCCAAGCTGTGTTGTTCTGCTGTGCCCTGACAGCTGAGCTGTCCCGTGTGCTCCAGAGTGCGTTCCTCGACCACTGGTGATGCCAGTGGGTACCATGTGGTGTTCCTTTCTAGTTTGCTGTGTGGAACATCCTCCTTTTTTGAGATGTCTCAGGAGTAATTTTGTCTTTTCAGAAAACCATGACTGAGGAGAACTGGGCAGATCACGTTCAGGTGAGTATGGATTTCCCTCTCCCGTTTTCTCAGGGTTATTTGCTTGGAGATTGTTTTAAATTGTTCAGAGTATCCAGTTTTGGATACTGTACTCCTGCTATTACAGTTCTGCCCTTTCTCATCACTTTGAAAGCATACAGCAAAACTGTACATGCAGGGAAGGGCAAAGGAGAACATTTATATTTTAATTCCTGTTATGTCTTTGTAAATGCTCTCATTTGGCTGGAGTTTTGGCTGGAGCCAAACTAGAATGTTTGGACAACACTCAGGCACATGGAGGGATTGTTGGGGTGGCCAGTGCAGGGCCAGGAGTTGGACTCGAAGACCCTTGTGGGTCCCTTCCAACTCAGGACACTCAGTGGTTCTGCGATTCTATGATCTCAATGTATCGAGTACATTTTACTTTTCATTAGTGAACCATCAGTGGTTATTTATGTGTCCATGGTATCCCTGTGGAATTGCAGCCTCATGGTGTTTGCTCCTGTTCTGTAACTCCTCTCAGTTGAGTTCTGCAGCCATTGGGGATTTCTGAAAATCCACTTGAAGGGTCAGCACGGGCTCCCAGTGGTAACAGCCAGCCTGGTGACTGATGATCTCAGGGATTTGAGGTCTCTGGCACTGTTTGGACACACCAGCAAAGCGATGGGATTGTTGGGGTGTCTGTGCAGGGCCAGGCGTTGGACACAATGACCCTTGTGGGTCTCCTTCAGCTCAGGAGATTCCATGATTCTCTGATTCTAACTTCTGGATGTGCTTTGGTGTGTGAGGTGAAAGGCTTTCTGTTGATGATGGAGTGTGAAGACACCTCCCATGCCAATCACTTGTGCAGGCAGGAGGCTCAGGATACTCCCTGGGAAGTAAGTGCATGTGTGGTGCCTGGTAAAGCCGCCTCCCTAGAGAGCACAGAGCGTGATGGACTGTGGCAAAGGGTTGTCTTCGCTTTCCCGAAGGATTCAAATCTTTGTATTTCCTGTGTGTTGCCAACTGATCTGTTTTTCACAGCTATGTAATTATGAGCTGAGCAGTGCTGGAACTTGCCTGTTATCAGCCTGACTCCGAGTTATCAGAGATCTGCTTTGGCATCACTTGAAAGTGTTTGGAATCTGTGCCTGTGCATCTGGAGGGAACTGAAACCATCACCTGGGCAGGCTGCTGCTGCTGCTGACAGGGAAAGGAGGGAACAAAGGAGAGATCTCAGAGCAAGTTTTGCTTTTCAGTGCAAGAACTAAGGTTGTCTGGGACTTTATAGGTTTTGAAAGATTGGGCTTTACAGGGGGGAATGACTCAACATCTGCTCAGAGTTTCATAGAATCAGGATCACAGACTGGTTTGGGTTGGGAGGTACCTTAAAAGCTCAATCCCTGCCGCAATGGGCTGGGACTTCCCTAGCCCAGGTTGCTCCAAGCCCCATCCAACCTGGCCTTGGACACTTCCAGGGATGGGGCAGCCACAGCTTCTCTGGGCAACAGCTTAACCCGTGACTTGACATGTTTTGATCAAAAAAATTTGCTGAGTTCCTTGTGGAGCTGAGGAAAGCCGTTGTTTGTATTGTGTGTCCCATCCCTGTGTTTAGTTGAGGCTCAGAGACAGTTTGGATCTCTCAAGCTCTGCCTGTCCAGGCACTATTAAAGACAGGAGGCAGAGGATGGGACTCAGTGTGACCTCTGGTCACCTGGGGGAATGGGAACCAGAACACCCAAAAGACTTGACAATGGCAAACTCTCAAAATTAATGGATAATTTTTGGATAAGTTTTTTAATTTGAAATTCAAAGAGGTATTGATGGGATTAAAGCTCATTTTCATTTAATTCTGTGCTGCAGCTGTAGCAAAGGACCTATCAGGAGCCCTCGTGGTTATATAATATCAGGAATTATAGAGATATCAGGTGAATTACACAGATCTCAGGAGCCCTGATGAAAGCAGGTCTGTCTCTGCTGGCCATGGCACACTCACCATGGCAGGCCAGAGACATTTCAGGGCTGGGATTTCTTTTTGTTCACCCTGAGCGTTGCAAGTACACATTTTTCCTGTGGGATGAATCCAATGTGTGATCCTGACTGCTCCTACAAAAGGCAGAAACTCAGGAGTTAAGTGTGGGGCCAACAGAACTTGTTTCCAGCCCTGTAGCAAACTGGTTTTGCCCCCTCTGCCTGCCAGCGCCCAGTACCTGAGCTGACGTCCAGGCAGGGATGACAGAGGAGGCAGAAGGGGAAGGAGAGGGATCAAAACCTCTTCATACCATAGGGAAGCTGCCCTCATCCCACTGCTTGCTGCAAACCTGGTGAGCCAGGAGAGCTGCCACTTGTAGCATCTTCTCCAAGTGGAGGTGCCTGGAGGGCAGAGGGAGGGAAGAGACTCTCTGTGCCCAGTGCCAGCTCTTCATTCCCTTGCCTGACTGATTCTGGGCTGCTGGAAACACACGGGAGTGCCTGTCTTCACAAGCAGAGGGGAAGGTGTGTAGGATGGTGGTGGTAGATAGGCAGCAAAAAAGAGGCAGGGCATGAGCCTCCTGTCTGCTTTCTGTGTGCCCTTCTACTTCCATTGTCACATACTTCATGTTGTTCATGGCTTCATCAGCTGCAAAAAGAGGGTAAAATTGGGCAAAGCAAGCACAGAACAGCCAGTCTGAGACTCTGCTCAGAGGTGTTCAGGATTGTCCCTCCAGTGACTGCAGAGAGCATGTGGCCAGTGGCAGGAGGGGCTGTGGAATGCTGATGTTCCCCTGGAAATTCTGCAGGACAAAATCACTTTGAGACTAAAAAGCACAGAAGGCATTTTTGGCACCGGCAAAGTGATGGGATTGTTGGGGTGTCTGTGCAGGGCCAGGGATTGGACATGATGATCCTTGTGGGTCTTTTCCAGCCCGGGAGATTCCATGATTCTCTGATTCTAACTTCTAGATGTGCTTCGGTGTGTGAGGTGAAAGGCTTTCTGTTGATGGTGAAGTGTGGGGACACCTCCCATGCCAATCATTTGTGCAGACAGGAGGCTCAGGATCTGCCAAGCTTTCAGAAAGTGAACACACACAGAACTGTGATATTGGTGAGGAGCACAGTAGGGAAGTGACTGATGAGAGATGTCACCTCTGCCGGTGTTTAGGTGTCAGATTGTCTGAGATACTTGTGTGAGGTTGGCAACATGACATGGGCCCTGCTGAGGTGCACTCCTGTCTCAGGTGGCACCTGGAGCCCCAGGATGTCTCAAATAGCACCAGACACTTATGTTCTGGGGACCTGAAATTCTCCAGTTGCCAGAGGACTGGGAGTGGGAGGGTCTGGTGTTCTGCTGCCCCACTCTCAGTGTGCCCTGTTCTCACCAGTGTTTCAGGGGGATCTTGTAACTGGGCCCTTCTAGGCTCAGCTGGGTTGATCAGTGCCAAATCAGTTTAAAGTGTTGTCTCAAATATGCCAGAAGTCTGTGTGCTTATTGGGCCTTCCTGCTATGAAACTCCTTCTCCCATGGAGCAGAACAGGGTGACACTGCACAGCTCTTGTTTGGGGCACTGACTGGAATCAGTATTGGACAGGGATAAAACACATTGGTTCATTTGGGACTACCAGTGTCATAGTAACTGTGAGGTTGGAAAAAGGGAATGGTTAGAAATGGGATTTTCATTTTTACTGACCTTGAGCCAAAGGGCCTTTTGCTGCTAAATCCCAAACAATTCTGTGCTGAAGTCTGCACAGGGAAACTGTCCCTTAGCTTCTCAAATATCAAAATCTTAAACCCTTCCAAAACTTTGCTCAGAAAAACGCTGCTGTTTGTAGAGGTGTCACGTGTTCCTTGGGTGCTCCCTGGGAGCAGGGGCCCACCAGCCAGCCCTCTTGCATGGGATGAGGGGAAACAGCCTCAAGTTGTACCAGGGAAGGTCTAGCATTAGAAAAAATTTTTTCACAGAAAGAGTTGTAAAGCTTTGGCACAGCTGCCCAGGGCAGTGTGGAGTCACCATCCCTGGAGGTGTTCAAAAAACCTGTGGATGTGGCAGCTGAGGACATGGTTTAGTGGTGAACATGGTGCTGGTTGACGGTTGGACTGGATGATCTTAAATGTCTTTTCCAACCTTAACGATTCCATGATTCTCTGATTCTGTACTGGGTGGAACCACTCTGGCCTTCACTTTGGCCTGTGGGGTTTGAGAGAAGGGGCCTTGTTTTCCCTCAGGCCCCTGTTTTGCAGCTCTTCAGCCTGCTCGGGACTTCCATGGGAATGCTGAGATGAATCCTGGAGCCAGCTGTTCCCCTGTTCAGCATGGGGAGAGCCTGCAGCTGATCTCCCTCCTCCTCCAGCTGGGTCAGTGAGATAACTTACTTATTTTAAAATTTCTGACCATGGAAATCAAGCACTGTGCCAGCTCATTCTCTGGGTGACCGGGGTGAGATGCTGGTAATTCCTAGGAAATCTATAGCTCCAGTTCCACTGCAGTTCCAGGGTTGTTCTGCTGCTTACAGACAATATTCTGAAATCTCCCCCAGTAGAAGGCAGAAGGTTAAAGTGTCCTCCTTTCTGTGCAATAAATTGGAAAAACTTGGACAATTCCTGCTTTTTAATAGGTGTAAATAACCTTACACTGCAGCAAGGACTTGATGTAATCTTACTTATTTAACCAATTAATTTATAAATGGCAGTGGCTGACGGCAAGATCCGTTCTGTATATGACCATTTTGACCTCAATTGAAACACAACTACCTCTGGAATAAAATGCAATAACTGCTACACTCAGGGAGAGGATTTTTAAGGGGAATTTAAAGTGCAGAATGTAATTATTTTTCCAAAGGTTTAGGGAAACTTTTCAATTGACTCAAGATTGTTTTGAGGTTGGCAGCATCCCCGTGGTGTGAGGAACTGAATATACACAGGGAATGAAGCAATCTGTGCAATGCAAATGGGAATGATGCTCGGGAGGTGGTTAAGGAACGACTTGTCTCTCGATATAAGACTGCATGTCAAATTATCTTCTCCTCTGTGTTTGAGTGAAATGTTTATTCAGGAATGGGATGGA